GGATTCTGCCAGCTGCCTCTCGGAAATGTCTCATTCCGACGCCTTGAACCGATTCGTCATTTTGTAGAACTCTGGCTTGAAGGGCGAGAAGAGAGGACTCGTGAATCAAAGCAGCAAGATCAGCACCTCTAAAAATGTTTAGATGAAAAAAAGAGTGGATATGTATAAAATTCACGTGAATCCAGAAAGTTCTGGAAGCTGAGCGATTTCCTGGAAGTCGATATCGTCAGCTAACAATGGTCGAGTTCCATTCTTGGTACTCTTTCTCAAAATATCCACACGATCTTCAACAGATGGGAAATCAACAAAGAGAATCTTGTCAAGACGTCCAGGACGGAGAATCGCAGCGTCGACGATATCTGGCCTATTAGTGGCTCCAATCAAGAAAACCTTTTGTCTCCCTTCTACTCCATCCATCTCTGTCAACATTCCCAAGTAGGGTTGGCAGCGGGGCGGGGATTCGCGTCCGCCCCGCCTGTTGAAAAAGAACTTTGTTGAATGAAGCAGTAACCGAAATTTTCAAATTTTGTTACGATTCAGGATACCCAATTAGGCTACCCTGAAAGTTTCAAGTCAATTGGTCCATTCAGTTACGCGTAATTACGCAAAGTATGCCGCCTCCCGGGGCGATGGCGCATCCCCGCCCCGCGCGCTTGGGGCGGGGATCGCCCCATTTCGCCCCCAAGCCAACCCTAGCAGGGACACATGTATTCTTAAAAACTATCGTTTCTTCTAGAAACTCTCCATTCGAAGTTGTTATTCTAGCACAAAAAAGAATCGCAGCTGTGGAAGATGAAAGCTTGCGACTACCGTAACCTAAACTACCGTAACCTAAGCAGCGGTTTTTCGAGATATAAACGGGCAATTTTTAGCCCTTTTAAAGTTTTTCAGCTATTTTCAAAGATTGCTTTTCGATTTTTCCGTTTTTTTGTCTGAAATTTGATGCAACATTGCTTAGATTACTGTAGGTTACTGTAGAAAACAAATTTCCTTTTGTTTTTTTTGTGCAAACACAATCACGTCAAAATGCATATAAAAAAAGCTCTTGCGAAAAAAATAAAAGAATACACAATTTTTTACAGTAATCCAAACAACGTTCCATCAAATTTCAGACAAGAAATTCGAAAGTAGCGAATAAACCTAAAAAGTCTAAAAATTTTACGAAAAATCGAAGAAAATAAATCCAGAACCTTGCATGACTTGTAGGTTACTGTAGTTTTCGTTGTGGGGCCTTCTGCGACGACTGCCGGCGCTCTTCTACACCTTCGATTTTTGTACACGAATATTAGAAAATTGTTTCCCAGGAAATGATTACCCCTAATATAGTAGATCCAAATCCGAAACAATAGCTTACGGTCCCAATTGTCATCTCAACCTCAATTTACAGCTCATCCAGGTGAAGGAGAATGACAAATAGATCAAGGGGCGGAGCAAATTTTCTGTATATAAATAGCTCCAGATTCCTCAATCCTTACCAGTTCTCGCTCGAACAACTCTTTCTTCTTGTATCATTTTATCCATTTATTCTGAAAGAATGTCTTCTGTTACTGCTTCTGCTTACACCTTCAAATACTTCCCACGATATGGAAAATTGACAAAGGAGATGAAAATGGAATTGGATGAACATTCACGTCAAATGGCAAGGCTTATGATTCATGTCCAAGGACTTAATCAATCCAAGAAACAATTGAAGAAGGATCAACAGAGAGAGGATACCGACGCCGATTGTATGGCTCAGCCAGAGTCTACGAATTCTAGCCCAGTAACTTCTGAAGCCTCGTCGACGTCTCCAGAATTAGAAATCCTGAATCACTTCTACCAGGAGGACCAATCCGAAGAATTTCAACAGATGTCAATGAACTACACGCCAGCCAACTACACAGTCTACTTCCAGCCGATTCAATACAATGCCGAAGGATTCGAACAAGATGGATGCACTTATTTTCATTATTAATTAAATACGTTGGTTTTAATTTTTTAAACATATTTCATTACTTAATTGTTAATAATGGTTTATCAAATAATAAATAATTGATAAAATAACCGGATTTTTTTTGAAGAAAAATCAAAGATTTGAACTCTATGCGACCCATATACAGAAGAAAACCCAATTTCACAATTCTAACTATAAATTCAAAGGGTTTATGGAGTGGACCTGAAATACTGTCTAGCCGTTATCTGGAAATAGGATCATAATGAAAACCCAGAAAATCAGGAAGTTTCAGAACAGAAGGAAATACGATTTACATACCGTGTTATTACGAACTGTCCAGTTGGAGCTCAATTATCTCGGCTCCTAAAAGAGATATCAGAAATGTGTTAACTGACAAACCACTCCTGATATTATAATAAACATTTTGCTAATGGAGCACTTTTTAATATCTTTGACGGGAACCGAGATATATGAGCTCAAAGTTGAAAGTTAGGGGTATACCATGGTAAGTGTCTACTAGACACTGTCAAGCCCCTACAAAAGCACTTCAGAATGTTTCAAATGTTTTGAAATTTTTTGAAAACACTAAACAAGACTAGCGTTTCATTTTTGTAGTAGACAATTTTTTTTGAAAACGTTGGGCCTAGAGAGATATAAAATTGTGAAAATCGAATTTGGAAAATTGAAAATTGCGATTTTTAATTTTTAGACCTTCCTAGGGTTTTCAGATATTTTCGAAGATTATTAATTAATTTTTCCGGTTTTTTTAAATGTAATAGAGAAGGATTACTGAACGTTGTTCTTTGAATGTTGTAAATTATCTGTCAAATAGACATGAATCAATGTCAAAATTAGTTTTGATCTACATTTTATATATTTTTGACTAGGAATTCGAAAACATCAGGCGCTCAACTCAAATCACATTTGGTTTTAGTTTCCGAATTCAGTCCTTTCTCTTTTTTCTTATTTTTCAAACTGATAATCAATCAGTTAGCAACACAAAGGGACCCAATAACGGTATGACTTTATTATGGATTTCAGATTTTGAAATTTGAAATTTCAGACTTCTGTAATAATTCAAAAAGTTGATGCTCATTCAATCGGTCAATACAAATGTTCAATGTGTCCCAAAAGGTTTACCATTGTAAACGGTGAGTTTTAAAAACTACAGTAGATTGTACGATTTCCAATAATTATATATTTTCAGGTCTAAAACATCACGGAGTGTTCATGCAAAACTGAGACCATTCAAATGTGAGATTTGCTCGATGGATTTCCAGTACAGATCATGTCTCCGTGAGCACCAAACGATTCACACAGATTCATGGTCCCATACATGTCCAGTTTGTGAAAAGTCTTTTCGGTGAGTTTCTAATCCTAGCACGTACCATAAAACCTGCAATAGAAGGGCCCCCATACTCTCACGTTCGAGCTCAATTATTTCAATTACTACGGGAGATATCAAAAATGTGACAACTAACAACACTCTTCTGAAATTGTGTTGAACAATTTATCAGTTGAAAATTTTTTGAATCTTCCACAGGAACTGAGATAAATTGGCTCAGAATTAAAAATCAGGGGCCCTTCTATTACAGGTTTTACGGTATTCATCTGGAAATTTCAGTTGGAAGAAGTATCTCCATGTTCATATGCGAATCCACGAAGACTCCAAAACGAATAGACAGACTTTTAAGTGTCCATTTTGTGTGAAGTGTTACAGGTAAACTTCTGATGTGGTCGGACTTCGGATCCTGAAACTTTTTTTCAGCTGGAAGCATATTCTGCGAGCTCATCTGAAAACTCATTTTCCGATCAAAGAAAAATATGAAGAGATATGGAGAAAGTTTAAAAATGGAGAATGGAATAAAAAGGAAGCGAACGCATTTCCAAAGAATGAAACTTCTGATGTCGACGAATTTGATGAAGAGAGTCAGAAAGAAAACGTCTTGTTAAATATTCCGCATGAAACAAAGTCAACACAAAGTCAATCGAGAAGTTCTCGACAACCTCTCAAATCTATTAAAAATGTTGACATTCGAAGGTCCGTCAGGCTTGGCTTAAAGAATATTGAAGTTCTAGTTGGCGAGGATAATCCACAAGAAGATGTAGTTTTTGCGAAGAAAGAGCCGTCCGAAAAATTGCGTTTCGAATGTGATATCTGCTCAAAAACGTTTGGACGCAAAGACAGTTTAAGGAGACATAAAATGATACATGATGGATTGGTACGGGTTCAGTGTCCGTATTGTGTGAGCTCGTATAAGTTGGTTTATTGAATAGATAGTTCAAAAAGTTAGTTTGTTTTGTAGCTGGATAAGAAGCCTTTGGAAGCACATGGAAAGTCACTTTGATTCAAAAACCAATTTCGACGATGCCTGGAAACGATACATGACAGGGGAAAAATTAGTGAAACCTGATCGGTCGGATAGATCGGTTCGATACAATTTCGAAAAAGTAAGTTTGGAAAATCCCAATATGATGTTCTAGTGTTTGATTACAGAACAAGTCGAGTTCTCCTGAAGTCTATCTTGATGTTCAAAAACCGATTAGAAAGAGATCCATCAATGAAATCCACGAGACCGTGCCAACTCCTGCTAAGAAGGCTAGGAAGGATATCCCAGAACCAAAAGTGGTTAGTACGGAAATTAGAGATTCAAAAAATTGTATCCAAAACCTTGCAGGCTTCTGGACCAGTTTGCTGTGATCACCAAGATCTCCAATTTCTAACATCTAACGGATTCTGCTCAGGAGATAGATCCTGTCGAATTGCTGCTGGTGCCAAATTCATGTGTGCAAAATCCAAATCGCTAACTTACGATATATTTTGCATGAAGTGTTTCGCCAACAAGTTTCCTGATCACCTCAACAAAAAGAATTTTAAAGAGACGACGAATGTCAATAAGAAATCGGAAGACGTCATAAATTGTATGAATTGTGGAGACGCGTGGCACAGAATATGTGCGTTGCATCTGAAGAAAGATCAGTTTTTATGCGTCAAGTGTGGAGGAGGAGCTTCGGTGCGGAAGACGGTAGATATGGAAAAGGAGTACTGTAGATCTTCGAAATATATGTCACAAAAAGCGAATCAGTTTTTGGAAAAGGAGATTGGAGAGGATGGCGCAAGGAGAAATCCCATTAGCGTAGTCACGTTTACATCGGATAAAAATGTGGCGACGAGAGAAATGGCACCGGATCTCTATACTGGAGATTTTCGAGAGAAATACACTGGAACGATTCAATTCAGGACAAGATCCATTTACGTATTCCAGAAGATTGATGACGTGGATGTCTTATTCTTTGTGATGCACACTCAGGAGTACAAGAAACACGCTGATGAGTTGTCATGGTTCACAATAGATTATCTGGATACGGTTCCATTCTTTCAACCATCCCATCTCAAAGGGTTTATGGCTGGAGAACTGATTCTTATTTATGCTGAATACATGAAATCGATTGGATTCCAGAAAGGGTATCTTTGGGCAAATCCACCGAAATCTGGAGACGATTTCATATTCAATATTCACCCACAGGATCAGAAATATCTGAATAGGACGAGACTGGAAAAATGGTATCGGAAAGTGTTCCAGAAGGGAAAAGAAGACGGGATTCTCAATGGATTTCATGCTTTTAAAGAGGAATTCAAAAATAGGAAATTCCAGAAACCAACAGATCTTCCATTTTTTCACAACTCCTTATGGTCCAGAACAATGAAAGATATCAATTTGCAACTGGCTGAAACCCGCCAATTGAATCATCCAAGCTTTATGAGAGAATTAGAATTTGAGTTCAAGGATCATTTGACTGACAATTTCTTTCTGGATCTCGCGAATCATGATGAAACCTCTCCAACTTCAGATGACGTCAGAACAAAGCCACACAAAATATTAGGAGATCGAGAAGCATTTTTGATACACTGTGCCAAAAAGAACTGGGAGTTTTCGAGTCTCCGACGTGCCAAATTTGCATCCGTAGCTATAATTAACGGTTTAATTAAATGATAACTTATGTGTAGAGTACTGTTCAATTACTTATTTCTTTTTATTTTTGATTTTAATACTATTTCAGGTTATTAATTGTTTTTTGTTTGATTATTAACTTTATCCTAGAACAAGTTTTATATCTAATGAATGACTGAAAGAACCTTCGAAGTATGCTCCAATGCAGTGGTAGACTTTCGTTATATTCGAAATTTTTTTCGAAAATCACGCACCCCGGTTTCCTGCAAAAAATAGAGCGGTCTAATTTTCTCAACATGGTTTTTTCTAGGCCACCGTAGTTGATGGTTCAGAATTGGTCTAACAAGCACCTGGTGCGTTTTCTAGGCTATGTAAACAGGATGGCCTAACTTTTGCAATTTTATTTTTCTAGGTTACCAACTTTAAGGGCCTAGCAATGGCTTGATATTCATCTAGCGGGTTTCCTAGGTCATTTCGCGGCCAAACTTTCTCAAATTGAGTTTTCTAGGCCACCGTGGTAAATTGTCCAGAAATGGTCTAACACGCACCTGATGAGTTTTTAGACCATTTTACTATAGTGGCCTAACTTTTGCAAGTGGAGTTTTCTGGGCCACCAACTACCATGGCCTAGTAATAGCCTGATATTTATCTGGTGGATTTGCTAGGCTATTTCTACATGGTGGCCTAACTTTTGCAAGTTGAGTTTTCTAGTCCACCAACTTTTACGGGTCGAACTATTCGAAATTAGCCGTTTTCGAAAAATTTCTTTTGAAAAACACATACTGCTCCGGAATACAGTAATTCAATGGAAAACTGTGTTTATTAGAGTTCAAATAAAAATGCTATAATTTTTGGGAAACTGAGAAATCAATGAGCCTGCTTTCCATTTCCATTCCTGGCGATATGACGCTTCTTCCAATTGCTCGTCTCTGTCGAATACTTTGAGGTCACATCATCCCAATCTGGCCAGTATCTGAAAATGCCAAAATTCAAAATTCAAAAGTTTTTCAGAATCTTCTCGCTACCTATTCTTAATTCTCTCAACGTATTCTTGCAAGTTCTTACATTCGCCCACGATCAAATCTCGATGCTCACTTGTATACGGAGCATAGTAAATTTGACACAGATTGGCGAAAAGACAAGCGTCCACTTTTGTGGGTTTGAATCCATGGAAATAGTGCTTGTTTCCCAAATATTTGCTGATTGATTTCAGATCGTCGCTTCCGATTTTGATGATGTCATCGCGGTTGTGAAATCCGATGTCGGAGCCGGAAATTCTTTTGAGCAACTGAAAATAAAATTCTTACTAATTTTGAAGAACACGAAGGAATACCGTAGATGCATAGAATCTAGAGTTGATCATTTTGAGAATTGACGAGAAGAGCCCAAATACTTTTGGATCGAAGAGATCAAGCATCTGAAAATCGCTTTTAAACTGTACAAGTTGAATTCTAATTCTATAACCTTTTCAGTATTTTCCATTCTGTAGAACCATGCCGAAATTGACATTGACTTTTCAATCATAGCCTCGAAAGCTCGGGAAACTGCTTTTTGTTCAACTGAGAGATGATCATCAAGTGATGGATGCTGCGGTTTGATGGCTTCATCGACATCTCGAAGAATGAAACTAGAATCGTAGTATTCTTTTCCATTTAGTTCAACGAATGGAAGTGTTCCTTCTTGTGTTCGGAGTGTGATGGGGCATTTTGGGATCTGAAAGAAATTATTATTTCTACTTTTCAACTTTCCTAGAAATTTTTGTAACTCAAAAAGTATTTCTGTTCGAATGATTCTTTACAGGTTACTCTTTGTTCTTCTATTTATTCTTTCTCTCTTTCATCAACAAGTTCAAACATATTGTAAAGAGCAACCAACCTCATAGTTGATATCTGCCATTCTCAGCCATGTTTCCACTTTCATACAGAACGTCGAGAGATTTGGAAGTACTCGAGTACGAGGAAATTGGTATAAATAGACGACATCTGGAAAATAACAAAAGTTTGGAAACAAAGAGAAGATTATTACAAACACTCTAATAGAACACCATCCCTAGCTTTGAATTTTGAGACAATTTATTTCGGTTCCAATAAAAGATATCGAAAAGAAGCCAACTAACAAAATATTTTTGAAATTATGATGAACATTTTATCAGTTGACTACTTTTGCGTACCTTTTAAAGGAAATGAGATATATGAACTCAAAGTAAACGGCCTGGAAGGTGTTTTAAATGTTTACGGTAATTAGAATACCTGGTTTCCAGTTTTCTGTAACCGGCGAATTTCGTTTCTGGGTTGAGAGGAATTTAAATGGAATGTAGACGGCCAGGGCGACACCACCAGCAACTGCAGCCTTACCCCAATTGGGTAGCGATTCTACCCATTTTGTGATTTCTTCTGTGAAATTTGTGTCGTCTGGCATAACTGGAATTTTATTAAAAATAGTAAAGGTGAGAGAAGTCGTTAGTTCGATTTCAAGATTGGAAGAGCAAGACAGGGAGAGATCATTGAGATTATTTGTTCTGAAAAATCAGTTCAAAGGTGTCTGCATGCTCTTAAAATTTCAGCTTTCAATATTCAAAACTTCAAATATTACGATGAACATTTTATCTTTTTGCATATATTTTTCAGAAAATGAGATATTAGGTTGTCCGGAAAGTAATCGATATTTTTGAACATATTTTCGGAAGAAGTTTATTCATTCGGAAAATCTTTTCAGTAATTAATATATTTTCCATTATGGTCCATCACACCCTGCCAACGTTTTGGTAGATGCTCAACGTCTCTTGCCTAGAACGCGGGTGGCTGTTGCTCGAAGAAGGCATCCATATAAGATTTGAGGTCCGATCTTCTATCGAAGTTCTTGCCATGTTAACTATTCTGAAGCGAGCTCAGTAAATGAAATTCTGTTAGAGCGAGGTCTGGACTATTTCACCAAATGATCAACATCTCCCTTTTTTCACGAATTTCCCTTTTGTGATTGATTTCTGGAGTTTGGCAAACCTTGACCTACTGGCGCTTTCTGTTTTCTTCAACCTACAGACACCCTTTATAGTTTTCTGACACAAGATAATGAATCCCATCGAATGTTCGTTTACAAGTGAACAAAGACCAACTCCTGTCACAACTAGTTTTAATCTGGGAATCACTGAAATGGTGTGGCACCAGTTGAACATATTTTTCTCAGTGTCCGGACTTCAACAATGATGAACTGTTATCATAGTAGGTAGACCGAGAGTAGAAGACACTTCACGAACAGTGAGTCTCGGCTCAGCTTCCAGCCCTTTCTGGATATGGGCATCGAAACTTGAAAATGGGTTGGTTCGCCTTCAAGTGAATAATTGCCGTTCCAAAGGCGATTGAGCCGAAGTTGCAATACAGTATACTAAAGTGACTTGCCACCAACTACGGAGCTTATCTTTCGATGAGCGGCGACAACGGATTCTTCTTGGAGAAACCCGAAAAAAAAGACAGCCTCAAACATCATAAGTTTTGATGGTGAGGCTCTCGGCCATGGACTGAGATTTTTTGAAACAAACTGACAATTTTCATTGGGCATGAGTTGACGATTGTCAAAACAAAAAAAAAGAAAACGAAAATCGATCGGCAAGAATGAATAAAAAAAATTTGTGCTCAAAAAATATCGATTACTTTCCGGACAACCTAATATATGAGCTCAATGTTGAAGGTTTCGGTAGCCTTCTATTAGAGCGTTTACGGTACGTCAATTCACCTAATAATCCTAAAAAGCTTATTTCATATCTCAAATCCTAAAACATTGTTGATATAATAGTGATAAGATAAAGGTCACACTTGAATGACAGTGAGTGTTTGCGGAACAAATGGAGTAAATATACTTGTAGACAGACGGATAAAATGACAGAAGGATAGAAATTCTCATGGCGCACTGAGAACCAAAAACAATAAGATTTATTTTATTGTTTCGAAGTTCGGAGACACAGGAAAAAATTCATGGATTCTTCTTTCTTCTTCTCACACTTTCAAGACCTCAAAGTTCGAAAAAAGATTTCGAAACAAAAAATAAAATGTAGCCAATTTAGGTGACTGTGGATAGGAAAAAGAGGAAATAAACAAGAAATGACCTTGTTTCTTGTTTTCTTCTTCGTTTTTTTGGTTCCAAATTAGACAAAGAAAACTTTTTGGGACTACTGTAACTTGAAGGATTTTTGAAGTTTAAATTGCGATTTCAGGACACATAGGTTCAAAAGAAAATTTGAAAATTTACATGAAATATTTCTTTAAAAAATGATGCAAAAACCGACGAAGCAACTTTGTGTCATAAGAAAAAGGTCTCAATGGAAAGCAAAAGATACTTGAGTAAAGCTGTTATTTTAGACTTGGAGCAGCTCCCGAAAAACAAAAAAAAACAGAGCCTAGACCCCACCCAAACAACAAAATAAAAAGATGAGTGAGAAAAAAAAGAAAGAGAAGAAAAACGAAGAAGAGATAGTAGAGAAATAGACAAACATCGGCGGTTTCTTTTCTCTGTCGTCTCTCTCTTTTCTAGATGAATGAGAATAGAAAGAAGAAGAAGAGGGAGGATAGGAAAGAATTCATCAAAATTTAAAACAAATTCGATTTTCATTAGGGTGTTTGGAGGTGCTAAAGTCGCGATTCTCCTGGCATCCAGAAGTACTACAGCAAGAAACAAAGAAAATGGGAAGAGTAAGGGGGTAAAGAAATGAATAATGAAAGAAAAGTTGTTATATGATTCAGAGAATGAGAGAGTAAGATTCAGAAAGAACATTGAAAGTGAAAATTTAGCAAAAAAGGTGGCGAATAGGGACGAGGATTTGAATTTCCAGACGATTTACGACCCCAGCCGGGAATTCAACCTCCTGCCTTCCGCTTATTCGTTTGAGTTTTGCATATTCGTTTGAGTTTTCTGAATCTTCTAGAATTCCCTAGAATCTCTCTCACTTCCTAAATTTCTCTAGATTTTAGTAGATTTTTTTAGAAATATTTTTCACTTCTGGATTCTTGGCTCTCACCTAGAGCCCCGACGGCTATGGCATACTCTAATTCCTAGTGAATTTCAGTATGTCAAAGGTTTAGCTGTGTTCTAGCGTGTCATGAAGGTCAGAATGGGAATTTTGAATTCTTTTAGTATCTCCTAGAATCTCCTAGAATCTTCTAGAACCCACTAGAATCTCTCTCACTTCCTAAATTTCTCTAGATTTTAGTAGATTTTTTGAGAAATCATTTTTCACTTCTGGATTCTTGACTCTCACCTAGAGCCCCGACGGCTATGGCATACTCTAATTCCTAGTGAATTTCAGTATGTCAAAGGTTTAGCTGTGTTCTAGCGTGTCATGAAGGTCAGAATGGGAATTTTGAATTCTTTTAGAATCTCCTAGAATCTCCTAGAATCTTCTAGAACCCACTAGAATCTCTCTCACTTCCTAAATTTCTCTAGATTTTAGTAGATTTTTTGAGAAATCATTTTTCACTTCTGGATTCTTGACTCTCACCTAGAGCCCCGACGGCTATGGCATACTCTAATTCCTAGTGAATTTCAGTATGTCAAAGGTTTAGCTGTGTTCTAGCGTGTCATGAAGGTCAGAATGGGAATTTTGAATTCTTTTAGAATCTCCTAGAATCTCCTAGAATCTTCTAGAACCCACTAGAATCTCTCTCACTTCCTAAATTTCTCTAGATTTTAGTAGATTTTTTGAGAAATCATTTTTCACTTCTGGATTCTTGACTCTCACCTAGAGCCCCGACGGCTATGGCATACTCTAATTCCTAGTGAATTTCAGTATGTCAAAGGTTTAGCTGTGTTCTAGCGTGTCATGAAGGTCAGAATGGGAATTTTGAATTCTTTTAGAATCTCCTAGTATCTTCCTGAATCTTCTAGAATCGTCCTCACTTCTGTAATTTCCCTAGATTCTTAAAAGATTTTTCAAGAAACTATTTTGCTGAAATCAGGAATTTAACATGTTGTTTGGCTTCTGTTCCAGAGTTTCAGGCGTGATTTCAGAATGAACTTCAAAAAGTGTTCTACCAATTATTGAACTCAATATTGTCCTTATTTTCTTTTTTGTACTGTCCAAAATAAATGGTTTTTAAAGTAGGCCAATTTCAGGACCGTCTTAATTAGCTGGCCCTGGATAGGTTTTTTCTCGAATTGTCTTGAAGTTTTAGAAATTGGTGGGGCTGCTGAAAAAAATACAGTGTTTGACTGTGTTATGTTTATTAAGCCATTCCTTTCAGTGTCATACGTTTTGAAGTATTTGAAATCCTAGAAAAATGAACTGGATTAATCAGTTTATTGTAAAAATTCTGCATTTTTAACATAATAAGAAAATGACACCAATATGGAGATTGAAAAATTGGAAATAAGTTATGAATGTACATATATGATATTCCTTCAATTCAGTTATCAATATCTAATCAATTTCGATACGAGACCATTGTCTGTTGACGGCGTGGCGGTGTTTGAGCGATTGGAGACGTGGTGAGTGAAAATTGTCGTTGGAATTGGCGGTGTTGGCTGGAATAGAAAATTGGGTTTCAGCTGTTATAAGATGAAATATTCACTTCATAGCAGAATGGTCAACGGTGTGACCTCGTTGAAGACGTCGATCTAGTGGATCGTACGCAGGATCGACTCTGCTCCATTCGCGGAACAAATGGTCACTTCGAACGTCCACGCTGAAAAAATTATTCATTGATTCCGGAGTTTATGATTTTAAGTTTTCCGGAGTGTAAATAGAGGAGTCATTGGCGGTGACTAAATGAAAAAGTGATGAGTGAACAATGAAATCAGAGATATTGTCAGAAAAAAGATTGCAGGTGTGTCTGCTGGTTTTGTGGTTTTTTATGTGTTCCCAATAAAATTTTATAGTAACTATGAAAAAAGTGTGATGTGGTTTTAGATGAAAATTGTAAATAAAGGTTTGTCTGTTGGAACTATGTCAAATACCGTAGTACCTGTATTAGAAGGGCCGGCCCTTCTATAGTTCTAAGGCACCTCCGGAGGGCCCTTCCATTACAGGGGTCCTTAAACAAGATCTATTTTTTATGTCATTTAAAAAAAAGTTGCACGAATTTTCGTTCAAAATTCATGAAAATCGGTCAATTTCAAAAAAAATCAGCAAGTTTTTGAGCAAAAGAGAGTATTTCAACAAACTACTGTTTAATTTCGGATTTTCCAGAATATTTCTCACTGAAAACGTACGAAAAAATTTGATTTCAAACGACACTTTTTGAAGGGTCTCCTTCTATTACATTACAGGGGGCCTTTATATTTTTCCAAGTCCCTCTTGGAAGGGCCCTTCTATTAGAGGGACCTTCTATTAAAGGGGCTCTTCTAATACAGGTTTTACGGTAGTCAGATAATGAAACTTATATGTCTCAAACCAGATGGACACATTGAACATCCGAAGAACTAGGTTGTCTCACCTGTAATCTCGATTATTCATTCTCTGCGAGCTACTACACGCTTCATCCGATGAGTTTGCATCCGTCTGATTCAAAAGTGACAATCGACGTCTCTCTGTAAACCACACTACTTTCTATGATGACCTGTTTCTTCGCCTATACTATACCTAATTCACTTCTCATACTGTCGAAACTATTCGAGAATCTTTGATCACTGTCGTCAGTTGAATTGTTTGATTCCATACTAGAAACGGCTGCCGTCGATAAGAATTGACGTTGAAGGAGGATGTTTCTGAAATAAACAATTTCAACAGAGAAAAAAAATTATCATAGTTTCTAGTTGGTGTCATCATCCAAAACGAGTTCATGATCTATTGGGTTGGTAAAAGTTGAAAACCTTGGGAAAATTAATCTAGAAGGATGATAAAATGGCGAAAGGGCAGAAATTGTCATTCCCTAGAAAATATCGTAACCCACAAGTTGTTCTTTTTTCTTTCTTTGGACCATGCTCTGGCCGAATTTTTGCGACTATCATAGCTCCGAGTTTGAGTTTCTTCAAGCGTTAAACGCTTTTTGATATGCGGTAAACTACCGTATACCTCAGAATCAACATGACACGCCTTACTGAAAGTAATCGTTTTCAAGGAATGATACTAGAGTTAGGTTACAAATTCTGAAACTGTTTTCGTCGACATTCCCATGCAAAAACCTGTTGAAGAATAGAGTATTCATCTGGAGCAACGGGTAGGATACGATGAGCCCTGTTCAGACGAGAGGTTTTTGATGTTGTAGTAGTTTTCATGGATTTTCGAATAAAGTTATACTCACTTGAAGACTGATCTCTTTGCTTTGGCAACTTGGCTGGCTTGTCGCTCTACAGTATCCGCTGTTGCCTGACTATCAGTATTCGATTCGAATGAAGTCGACACAGAAGACGGTTCGGATATACCAAGAGCATCCAACTGCTCCAAATGTCCCTTCGCTGCCCACAATGATTGACATGCAGCTGAAACTTCTTCTCTTTGAGCTTCAGCCGCCGCTTGAGAAGATGCAAGGGTATACGATCGATGATCCAACATATGACGACGATCCACTGGATTCGTCTCGAAAGATTTTGCTTGTCTGGGAACTAAGTGACTTCTACGACGCTCCGAGTTATGCGGTGTGGGGGGCAGAGGCTCCTGGATGATTGGAACTTCTAATCGACGAGAACTGGAGACTTGGAGGATGTATGGATCATTGACAGCATCTGGTGCTGTGCTGTGGATAACTGGTTCATAGAATTGATGATATGTATTGGGATCTAAGAGAGGAGGTGGAGACGGTTGCGCTCCGGGGTTCCAGGATCTCGAGTGGGCATGACCTCGTTCATAGATTCGGCGAGGGATTTCGGGAAGAGGAGAGGAGACCTTAAAGAAAAGATAAAAAATAATATATTTTTAAAATCTACATCTTGGTATATACTCTCACAGGAATCAAGATAAATTGAGTTAACATAGAGTCTACAAATTACTGTAAACCCTCTAATAGAAGGTCACCCATGCTGTCAACTTTGAGCCCATATATCGCGGTTCCTGTGAATTATGACAAAAAGTGGTCAACTGACAAAATGTTAATCAAAATATCAAAAATAATTTTTTAATTGACCACTATTTCATAACTTCTACAATAACCGAGATAAATTGGCTCAAAGTACCAAGCTAGGGACGGTGTTCTATTACAGTTTTAACGGTATTTTTGAACCAGAATTCTAGGCCTTTATGAGACGCTGGAAAAATTTAATAAATGTGAAAACCGCAAACTACAAAAGTGGTAACAACTACAAATGGTATAATTTCTCGGTGTCCAACCTGTTTCCGCGGCGGCGGTGCGGCGGCATAGTGTACAGCATTGCTGCGTGCAAAGTGGCTCATACGACGTTGTCGATCATGTTCGAACTGGTGGTGTTGCTGGAAAAAAGGGAAATTGAAGTATACTCATGTAGAGTGGATGTTTTATCAGCAGAGAAAGCGGCGAAGCTTCTTATCACAGAGTTTTCCTAGTGCTTTCCTGAATTTTTATGTCAATGCTATAATTGAAAGCGGTAGATTCTTCATTGGTTACGTCATACGATGACAAGGGCAAAGTTGAACTTTTTCCAGAGGAGGTGACAATGATTTCTTGAACTTGATATAAACTATTTTTCTTGGTTTTTGCAGAATCTCCCACCTACTTTCCCATATTAAACGAGAAAACTGGGGTTGATGTTTCATTCATTTTATGATTTCTGTTTTGATTTTTTTGTTTTTCCCACCCTTATTTTTTGTACTTCAAGCATTCTCTCAAAACTTCGTTCGACATAATAAACTTGTATTGCTTTGAGCATCTTTAGAAAAAAGGATGACGTTGTATCATAAACACAATTACAGTGTCAATATCACATGACCCCATTTTCTCCCCTTCATTCCCGACAGAGAAACGAGACTGTGCCTAGCTCCGTAACACAGCCCTGCTTCGGGGGTCTCCTTTTAAACAGGCCTCATCAATGATACTGATAACACGTGGCCTTATCAGTACTCTCAAATTGTTATAAAAGGCCCACCTATAGTCATCTTTCCCCAAGCGTATAGAGAGAGGAGCTCTCTAGAAGACACTTGGTGAATAATGTCACTGAATAATGAACCGTTTGCTCTTCTCTCAATTATTTCTCTCTGCTCTTTTGCATTCTATTCCTTATCAGCTGGCGTCTCTAAATGCTCTATTACAGTTTATACGCCCATTGTTTTGATGTCCTTGGGACTATATATAACTTGTTGTTGAGGTAAGTTTAGACTTGGTCTTTGTAAATAGAAAGTTATGATGATAAGAGTATGGTTGATTAAGAAAAGGAAGGTGGTGAGCTTTAAGGAGGAAACGAGAAAAAAATAGAAAACTATAATACCTAACTTCGATCAATTCAAGAGTCAATATCCAATATGACTTTTCATTACTTCCTCAAGTCCTATATTAACTCGTGTATTAATTCCTGTTATAACTGTATTTACTATTAACTACTGTAGGTTTATGATTAATAACATGACTTCTCAGAATTAAGGCATCCTTTTGGTCGGAAGGTTTAGCAAACCGACCGACCGCCGACCCAGCCGACCGCCCGTCGACCGAACTCGTGCATTTGAGCGTCCACATGCCAGAGAGTGTTTGCGTACGCAGCATTTAATTTCACGACGCACGACGAATTTTTGATTTTTTGAATCCCAATGTTCTGCGTACGCTAACACTCTCTGGCATTTTGGCGAGCAAATGTACAGCTCGGTCGGCGGTCGCCAATTTTGAGTTTTATTCTCAAATTCCTCTTACACCCTATTTTTTGCAACGGGATTTTCAAATTTCATAACCCATTCATTCCTATTGAATAGCTAAACTCTCCCATATATCACAGTATCCAACTAGTCAATGAACTGTTGACCTAATTTTAATAATACACCCCGCAAATCGTTTTTGAATAGATTTGTGTGGGCTCCACGCAGTGGTGGTGGTGGCACTTGCACATACCGGTCTATTATGTAAAAATATTAAAATATTATTATGTGCCTTATTATTGTGTACCCTCCCGTCCACATACCACTTTATATCATAGCTGATGCATTGTGCTGTGTCAAAGAGTCAAAAGAACAGATAGTTCAGATTTTTTTTTATCTTTCTGAAGAGAAGGAATTCTTCTGAATTCTACACACTTTTATACTCCAATTTGACCCTGACAGTGAGAAAAGAGAAGAGGAATGCAAAAAAAAAAATGTTGCTGATCTTTTGCATGAATGATTAGAGAAGGAGAAGGACAAATGAGATCAAAACAGGAGATTGAGAAAGAATCAGTGTTATCGTTTTTGTAGGCTATTTGGAACTGATCACATCATAGACAATTACGGAATTACGGTTCTCGTATGCGGAAATCATGATGTTTCGAATTGGGTTGGGTAGGTGACGGAGCAACAGATAAAAGTGTGAATTCTGAATGATAAAATGGGAAATTAAATTGTTTAAAAGAGTCTAAAATTGAACATAAACAACAGAATTTTCAGATATATACCTGAAAACCTGTAATAGAAGAGCCCCCGCACTGTCATGTTGGAGCTCAATTATCTCCATTCCTATGCAAGATATAAAAAGGTAATCAACTAACAAAATACTTTTGATATTATGATAAACAATTTATCAGTTGACTACTATTCAGTATCTTCTTTAGAAACCGAGATATGTATGCTCAAAGTTAAGGAGTTTTTCTATTAGAAGCTTTACGGTAAATGTTAAGGAGCCCTCCTATTACAGGTTTTGCGGTATCTGTCTAAATACTTTCGAGTTTTAGGAAGACTTAGCTCTTGACAGAATGAGAAACTTTATTTTTGAAACTTCATTTTCTCTGCCGGTAATTCAGCAAGACTTTCAGCTTTATTTCAGTGCCAGAGCTAGCTGACTCTCTTAAATTATTTTCTAAATCAAAAAAATCTATTTGACCATTCATTCTGACCAATATTACCAATATTACACAAAATGGTTCATAAAGTAATCTTATCAACATCAATCAAACTTTGAAAAACCTTATCCCGCTTACTTTTTCTTTCAAAGTCATACGGTATACCTTATACCGTTTAGCTAGCGGTACCTCCCACACAGGTGAATGCACCACCGGAAATTGAATCTCTAACAATGGAGAGTTTTTCGATCCTCTCGGAAATTGCTTCTGTATCCGTTTTTCATAACATTTTTAGAGCGAAGCACCCCCGCTAAGCCATTCAATTTTGAGTGTCGTCCATACATAAGCTCTCCCAGTTGTATTCACCCGGTCCACTCCACAGCTACCATATCCCCCAGCTAGCGGGGGTAGCAACTACAAACATTTTATCTCATCTTTTGACGTCTTTTCTGTCTTCTTCTGTTTCTGCTCCTATTTCGTTTTCTCTTCAGAGAATCTTCTTCAGTTTACGTTCTACGTCACAGTGTGTTTTTTTTGTATCGCATCTGTTGACTCTAGAGTTCTTCAAAAGATCATTAGAGGTTCTGATATCAGTATAAAAGATGTCAGGTTCTATTGGCACACGAGCACTGTTCGGGATCCTGTCTTTAAGATTTTAGTTTTGATTAGAAGTTGAAAAGAGAATTTGGGGAACGGGGCTCCCATAATTTGAAATTCCGAAAAAATGTGTATACCCAACTTCCGATAAGTCAACTTTGAGCTAATTTATCTCGGTTCTTGTAAAAGTTATAAACATGCGCTCAGTTAAAAAATATTTTTGAAATTATGATAAACATTTTGTTAGTTGACTACTTCTTGATATCTTTTACAGAAAACGAGATATATGGGTTCAAAGTTGACGGTTTGGGGCGTTCTATTAGACAGTTTACGGTAAAGCTTCTGAACCGTTAAAGCAAATCTGATGTTCCAACCATGTCATCAGGATCTGAAAACTAGAATATCCAATAACTCGAAATACCAAACAATTATTTTCCTAACTTCCGAAAAGGTTTGTGCTCGACCAATAAATATAACGTAAATACGTTAATAGAATGCCCACGGACTGTTCACTTTGAGCTAATTTATCTCGATTCCTGTAAAAGATATCAAAAAGTAATCAGCTGTAAAAATATTTTTTAATTGTGATGAACATTTTGTCGGTTGACTATTTTTCAATATCTTTCACAGGAAAGTAGATATAAGGGCTCAAAGTTGGCTAGAGTGTTTACGGTGTTCACCAAAGCTTCTGAACCGTAACACCAAAACTGATGTTTCAACCACGTCATCAAAATCTCAAAACTAGAAAATTTTGACTTTTGTATGTGCCAAAAAAGCAGTCTTTAGAGAGTCGAGTCCTTTCTCCGAAAGCTCATTATAAATGTTCAGTGAGGCGTAATTTTCCATGTTCCAATCCCCTTGCAGACAGAGATGGTGTGTGGGAGATAAACAATGGAAAATGGAGCAGCACACATGTTTCTGGTTTTACAAGAGCTCTCCTGAAGAGTAATGAGTTCAGTTATACCTATCCGAATTACCATGACATAACTCTCATTACACTTTTCTTTCATCCATCCATCCGATCATTTTTACTACACACCCTTGCGGTGCCACCTGTCCGTGCTTCCCTCGGTGCCTCGTCCTCTGAAGGATGAGCACATCTTTTCATCACTTTCTCCTTTCTTCAAGAACACATTCTTCTGGTTTTTTTCGGTCTCCCGTAGTAAAAGAAGAAAAGAAGAAGAGCTGGGACCATTATAAAAGACAAAGAGCTCTTCTTGAGTCTTCCAATGGGACCAAAAACTGGCCACTTTTGCTTCTCCTGCTTTAAACTTTTTTTCTTCCTTCAGTTTATTTTTTTCGTCTTTGAAATGCTCCTTCTTTCATAATCTTGTCCTAAAATCTTTTCTTTTCAAAACTAGTGGTTAATTTTGTAGATTAGAAACAGTAGATACTCATCTCCTCTTCTCGCGGATGACCTAAAATTCGATCACATGTTTTTTCGGGGGTTTACCTCCTCCAAAGATTGGTTTTTGGGGTTAGTTAGTCATGTGTAGATCGGTGGTGGAGGAGGAGAACAGGTATAAAAGTTGGGGGATTCTAAGCAGATAATTGCAATTCTTTACTGCCCCCTCGCTCGTTTTAGGACCAATAATTTCCGATCGTTTCTTCTGTCCCTGGCGTCGTAGTCCTAAAACGTAGTGTCTTAATTAGTCAGTGAATGGATGACGTTTCGTTGTGGAAATGGATTAGAATACGTCGTTTAGAAAATGGGAATTGGTTTCTTTTCTATTCAGAAGAAAGAATGGATTCGGTTGAGGAGCTCAATTACGTCGAAATCAGGTCGTGACCCCGTTTGGAGCACTTTCGGAGCATTAAGGCTTCCATTCGACAGCCGGTCGTGCATTTGGGCATACATTTTCCAGATAGTGTTTGCGTACGCAGCATTATATTTTACAATGCTCGACGGATTTTTTGATTTTGTGAACAGTAAAATGCTACGTACGCAAACACTCGACGCGTAAATGCACGAAATCGGTAGGCACGCCGACCGATCGGTCTGCTCGGCCTGGGTCGGTGTTCTACTAATTACCAATTTTCAAATTATCACAAGTCACATCCGATCTCTTTCACCTCTACCTTTCGGATACATGTTTTTTCTCTTCCAATCACTAATCACATTTATTTGATTAACAACGACGAGACAACATGTGATCATGACCTTCTGGAACTTTTTAGCAACTAGGGTTTTCCGAAATCTTATCACACTTTTTTGTCTCCCCTCTCTCACTCTCTAACCATTCACCTATCTTCCAAAAGTTTCTGAACGAACCGATCACAACAGTCACCACCATCATCATGTTTTAAAGGGCAATCACAACACCTCATTCTTCATTCTCCTCTTCTTCTTTTTCATCGTATACCAAATTAAAATTCGTAACACTCCTATCGGACCGTGGACTACGTTTTGTCTGTCTCTCTCTCTCTCACCAACCTATGAACTATTGCGCAGGGAGAGAATTTCTAATTCATCGGAACGTCATCAGAGACTACGTGTACCTTGGAGGGTCACCAGAGATTGATTTGGGTGCCCCACGGGGTGGCCGAGTGATGCGAAAAGTTCGCCATAGATTGGACAGTCAAAAGAGATCGCAGAGATGGGGGATGAGTGAGAGAGATACCTCTCGTCGAGTCTTCTCAACCGGTTTTCCGACCTCGTCGAGAGGGTATATAAGGCGACTCATTTCCAAAGGCTACAGGAGGACGGGGCGAGACTCTCTGCCTTCCTCTCACCCTTCTTTGGTGTGTGTGGATCGGAAAGAGAGTCTCAGTCTCTTGTGGTAGGCAGTGTAGTTTAGGAAATAGGTGGATGATAATGATGAAAGTATAGGAAGGAGTGTGATCTTTCTCTTTCAACCCCGGCGCCCACACACAGCTGTTTCTTCGGAAAGATGGGAAATGGGATAGATGAAATAGGAGGCAAAAAACGAGGAGGTACACTTGACCTCCTCTCTTCTAATCCAACGGACAAACTTGGTTTTGGCCGTTATTTTGAAATCTAGACACCCGCTCTAGACATTCTAGACTGTAGGATCCATGAAACACAACTAGACAGGAAATATTGAGAGCGAGTTTTGAAGTTCCTCCGCTCCCCACCTGTTTACGGTGTCCTAAGGATCATGACGTATTTCTTTCCGAATTTCTGATCTGTTGAAGTTCTTTTGCAACATCTCAGAGAGATAAGAATCTAAAAATTCAGAAAATTCCGCGATTTCGAAACATTTCGATTTCGAAAGTGCAAGTTTCTCAAGAGGAACATGTGTGACCTTGAATAAATACATAAGATCATCCTATCCCTCTCTTCCGACCTGCCTCACACCATGGGTGCACACCTTCAAAGGTTCACTTGTCCTACCTACGCATTTTCTCAACCTTCTCCTTTTCGTTTCTTGTTTTTTCTTATATTTCCCATATTCTTTCATTTGGGAACCTCTCTGTGAGTTCCTTAAATACAGTTCGTAGTTTCTAGCTTCCCGTTTCCTCTATCCCTTTCTCCTTCTTCTTCTCCCCAAGTTGAAACATCAACACCTTTTCACTGCTCCTGCGTCTCTTCTTCTCATTATGTATTATCCATATCTCTCGTCTATATTTCCGATCATCTGTCTATATTGTGTGTCTGTGTGTCGGGGCAAGAGTGGGAGAGTGTGTAACTATAAATACAAGCAAAATTCAGTTCCAAACGCCGCTAAACCAATGCTGATAGAGAGGAATGGGAAATGAATTCTAGAAGGGATAGGTTCTGCAAAACATAATTTTATTCTGTTTTTCGTTTCAAACTAATACTGTAGCAGAAGACACATAATTGGTGCTGCTGGCTGTCAATAATTAATTGTTGTTGATGACAGCTGGTGCCGACAAAGGAGCCCCAATTTCCTCCCAGATGGTACAGGCGGCCTGCTGGATGATGCGATTTAAAGGGCGCCCTAATTCTGTAGAATTTCAAAAACATAGATTTGTCGATTTGTCAAAAAATCTAGGTGGTGCCACCCTAGTGGTTAATGAGCGTATTTCTGAAAGAACAGGCTGATTGGTCCACGTCAACCTACCCATTGCCGGCTGCCTCCACAATTTGCACAACCTGGCTAAACAGTCGAACACCTTTTTTTTCAAATATTTTCAAATTCCTCTTATCAGTTCCGCATAGCAATGATACTATTCTAAAAAGAACAGGCCGAACACTTTTTCGTAGTAACCCTACAGAGTTTAAACAAACTGTCTCGGTCTGTCCGTCTTTTACCCAACAAGATGTGTCCATCCCTCATTGCAGAAAAAAAAGAACTGGGAGGACGGCGAGAGCCTGTGTCACACCACAAAAGTTGAGCAAATATAACCCTCGGGGGGCCGAAAGTTTTGTATAAGAGGGGGGAGGTGAGGGGCTATTTAAAGCGGACGGAGTGACTGGGAGTGGGAAACTCTTTGGGAAATGATGATGTTTCTGGTTGGAAACAGTGGATGGATGAGCAGTTGTTATACATTTCAAATGACCTTTTTTCTCACTTCTGGTTTTTGCACTTTTCTCTTTTTGCCCTCGCTATTTGATCCTATTCTTATCTTGAGGATAGATCAGATATCTCCTAACGAGATTTTCGGATTTTTCCCTTTTTTCTAATTTCCGGAGAAGCCTAATTAGTGAAAGTGTTGTTTTCAAAACTTCTTGTTCTTTCTAAAAGAACATCTCTATCGCAAATATTCTTTTGAAGAAACATTCTGGTACAAACAAGGTTCCACACCGACAATTACCGTAACCTAAATTTTTTTATTTCTGGGTTGATTTTCTCGATTTTCGATTTTTCGAAATTTCCCCAAAAACCAAACTAAAAATTTTTTCTGTCGAAAAATCGCTAAATTTGTTGGTTACGGTAGTTTTCGTTGTAAAACTTTCGGCCACGGCCACCTGCGTTTCTCTTCCACATCTCCGACGTTTCGTGCCAGTAAAATAGTTTTTTTATTAAATTTACAATATCCCAAATCCTCCACCGAACCACACTCCTTTATTGTGTGCTTTGATTAGTCGATCACTGATTATTACAATTATTTTTTGCTGGTCTTTCCTATAGCGGTGGGAACTACGACCACTATAAAAACGAATGATGACTTTTGAAAATTCGCCGAAAATTGTTTATTGTAGATTTTCAAATGTTTGGGATTGAGCATCTGGAAAGTTGATGCTCTCAAAATTTTCAATAAAAGTGCTCCTCTATAAAATCACCTGTGGGTGGGTTCAGCGGAAATTGCATTTTTGAACTTTTTTCGAAAATTTCAGCTGTTTAATTTTCTTAATTTTCAGTGCTCTTTTCAGCGCATTTTTCAACACTCTTTGATTTTTGTGTGCTTTCAAAAGACCTAAAACTTTTAAAAGTTTTCCTAGTTGAATAGACTTCTCGTGACGTCTTCTACAGTAACCCAACCTAATTAGTTTAAACCATCACACCGCCTAAACCTATCTCCTTCAAGATCTATGTGTTCACCAACAGCGGTATTCTCTGTTTTTGGTAATTTTTCTTTAAATCACGAGGTTCACCACCTCATTCTTGAAAGTTATAGATCACAGGATCTTCGAACTGGTTCTCGTCATTTCGGAACATTTAGTTGAACTACAGTATCCCTTCTCAAGTCCAAATATCAAATGTGTTATTCTTTTTCTAATCTAAGAGACTCAAAATCACAAATTCGGCAAATTGAAGACCATGGTCGTGGTATATAAACTTTTGATTCTCCTGTCCATCAGACTGTTTTTTGATGATGACGCCGAGATTCGGAAACTGATCAAAGAGAACGAAAAAACAAATAATTCAATTCTGACGTGTGTGAAATTCTTCCAAGAAATACCCCCACCCCCCAGACTCTTCCAGGGCTCCGCCGACACATTTCGCACGGTTTATTACATGGAGAATAGAATATAAAGGAAGAATACTCTTCCTTGTTTTCATTTCCCAGAGCTCTCTGTCTTCTTCTTGCTCAACGGAATAAGATGCAAATTAGGTCATAAGCCTCGACTAAGTCGTCTTTCTCTTCTTCTTTTTTTCGGAAGCGCTCGTTGTAAGAAGTTTTTCGGAGTTGTAGTTTTTTCTCCGGATAAACTCGATTTTCTCATCCTCCTTCTCCTCCTTTTTTTCAATGATTCTGCTCTTCTTTTTGCTTCAAAAGTTCTTCTTTTCCTTGAAGACCATAATCTTCTTCTTATTCTTCTTCTTCTGGTCATCAGTTTCTTTCTTGCCAGTTCCGTTTCTTTGCTCCTATCTTCTTTTTTGTTCCATTTTCTTTTTTATCGCAAAGAAAAAAATCCAAAAACTTTTTTTACAGATTCTTCTCTTCATATAATCCAAAAAAATCAAAAAAAAATTTAATATGATCTGAGCAATGCGGACAATGGATCAAGGACAGTTGCAAAAGTTACTAGCAGCCTCTGCGGCTGTGTCGACCACTCCCCAGCAGAATCCAATGGTAAGAGTGTGCCAGTTTGACTTTTGACTCCGTCGATCAGGGGGAAAATAGTTCGGGTTTGAAACTTGTTAGCTCAGCCGGTCTTGCCTTTTTGGCATACCCCATATCCGATCGTTTTTGGTATTTAAAGAGGGAAAATGAATAGGATGAAAAACGTTCAGTTCACTTTTGGCATCGATGTGTGATGTGCATTTTTTGAGATGGATGTTTTGGTCGAAAACGATTTAGTTGGTTTTTATTCGGTCAGAAACTTTTTTGAAGTCATAAATCATGAATATGTTGGAGAGGCACGACCTGGTATTTTGGATTTATAAGTTCGTTTCAATTGGTTTTTATTCCTTGCGGCTCTTTTTTTCAGCCCAGGGGAGTTTGGAATGGCATTTTCCGAATTTTTGAAAATTCCGAGTTTCAAAATTTTGGAATTCCGGAAGATTCCGATTTTTGAAGTTTCGGAAATTCGAAATTTTGAAAATTCCGAGTTTAGAATTTTCAGAGTTTCGAAATTTTGAAAAATTCCAAATTTCGATGTTTGGGAGTTTAAAATTTTGAAATTTCAGAGTATTCCGATTTTTGAAGTTCCGGAATTTCGAAGTTTCCACCTTCCACCTTCCAAATCCACCTCCAAATCCACCCCACCTTCCAAAAAGCTCTAATTCCGAAAGAAATTGAACATATTCCGAACATTTTCGGATTTTTGGAATTTTAGGAATTTTTGGAATCCCGAAAAAACTAATCATAACATCCCAATATTTGGACTCTGCTCAAAAACTATTCTGTGGGACCGGATCCAGTATCTAGGCCACCATAAAAAAGGTCTAGCGAAAAAAAATGTTGTCCCTATCTAGAAAAGATGCCACACTTTCTGGGTCGCACTTTTTTATACAGTAACCCTTTTTGTAGCTTTTTCTTACAAAAAAAAAGAAATTTGAACCCTTGAGGTTGATCATGTAACTGATGTACCCTACTCTTCTTCTTGACACACATTTCCTCTAATGTTTCATTTTGTAGTTTTGTGATCATCTGTTTGTATTTAATTTTACCGAAAAATGAGTCAACTTGTCAACACTATAACAAATCTGTTGACCCATAATGGGGAAAAGTTTTTCACACACAAAATGCACCTCCTTCTATATTTTTGACCAATCATATGCTTTT